CAAATTAATATACATTAATTTAGTTAATTTAATTAAATCATATTAAATTAAATTAAATTTAAATTAATCATCTATATTAGTATAAAATTCTAATATCCATCTCTATCATAATTTTGAATCCAATTCAAAATTAACTTTATATTAGAATTATTATAACTTTATATCAACATACATTATATTAATTACATCTGATATAATTAACCTTAATTCCCTTTAACTAATTTGAACAATTCAAATTATTTTCAAGACTAAATGTTCTTAACTATCCTTTACGAGTTATCAAGGGGACCGAATGGACCCACAAATCGGAAGTTCCAACGATACAAGATTAATTGATTAAACTCATTAACCATATTAATCAACATTCATTAACTGTCGGTCACTCCACTAAAGACTCACAGTTGCACTCTTCTCACTGTAGAATATTTTGCGTTGATGGATTTTGACCACTAACGATAAGTCAATCCTTCACGAGTATTCGTAACCATAGCTGGGTCAAATTACCGTTTTACCCTTGTGTTACATCTTATGCCTTAAGTACCGCTGATCCTCTAATGAATAACCCGATTGTGGTCCAACCAATAACCGGAAGTCCCTTTCAGGCCAGTGAGAGGGTGGGAGTTGTTTAAGTTCCGGAGTCAGCACTTAAGAGAACACTCATTTACTTACCCTAAAGTCGGGAAGTAGTGAATTCCATCTTGTGTAGTTACGTTCCCAGCTCCCCACTCGGTCTCGTCCCCCAAATGGTATGCATATTGAGTAGACGACTCGAGTCACTCTTACCCATACAAATCAAAAGACGAGCCCTAACAGGCAGGAGTCCATAACTCACTCAGGATTGAGATTGAGTTACCTGGTCATCCTATTGAAATATTAATCTATTAACTAATGGTGTTACAGCTAAAAATTAATTATTTCATAGTCCGGTCTTATACAAATTCATTGTATAAGATACCCTCACTCGCATGTCTCCACACGAATGACCTGGATCAAGTCATTTGTACCTATTACAAAGCGGGCCGTATCCATAGTGTTATCAGGATAAGGTACTCAACCTTATCCATATACTATAGACCTTTTAGGTTACTGCTGGAACATTATCCACCTGTATATCGAATATATACTGTGTATATATATACTGTACATCAAATATATACGTTGTATATTAAATATATACTATATATCTGTTATATACTGTTCCAGTTACATCACATAACCTAGGATGTTAGTTTATTGGATTTGGGTTAATGTAATTCTATCCATAATAACTTTATTGAATGAATATTTGTTTTATATTTACAAACCACAAGTTTAGGGCATAAAACCCAACACTTTCTTCTGCGAACTGCCTACTTGACTGGCTTCAAAATTCCCATTGCAAAACAAAATTAAACTCAAATAAACCACAAAATTTAAAAGCGAGTAAACTAACCAATGCTGGAGTAATAAAATGATTTGACTATGTGTCCTGTTCCAGTTATTCCTTCGCGACTGTGATCAGTCTGCTGCAAGTGGTGGACTCCCACATTTCTCACCATGTCATCACTATAATAATGCTTCAGCCTCTAACATTAACTATGAACTCTCTTCCTAAATTAGCCTCTTGTACTCTGATAGCTCCATGGGGAAACACATGTGAGACCAAAAATGATCCAGACCATCTAGATTTGAGCTTCCTTGAAAAGATGTTCAATCTCGATTTGTATAAAAGGGCTTGTCGTCCCTTTTCATGCCTGGGTTGGATTCTGGCATCATGCCATCACTTGGTCTTTTCCTTATAGATTTTGGCATTTTCATATGCATCTCACCTGAACTCTTCAAGCTCCAACAGTTGTAAGTGATGCAGATCTCCTGCTGCAGCATAGTCTAGATTCAACTTTTTTAAGGCCCAGAACGCTTTATGCTTTAGCTCCAATGGAAGATCACATGGTTTCCAAAAGACCAATTTGTAAGGAGAGGTACACAACAGAGTTATAAATGTTGTTCGGTAAGCCCATAAAGCATCGTCAAGTTTCGCGGCACCAATCTCTTCTGTTGGTGTTGACTACCTTTTCTAGGATACTTTTGATCTACCTATTTGATATCTAGGCTTCACCATTCGATTGAGGGTGATATGCTGTGAAAACTTTATGCCTGATGTTGCATTTCGCCAGTAGTGATGCTACAACTTTGTTCATAAAGTTGGAGCCCCTGTCACTGATGACTACTCTCAGTGTACCAAACCTTGTAAAGATATTTTTATGCAAGAACTTCGTCGCCACCTTGGCATCACTGGTAGGTCATGCGATCGATTTTACCGACTTTGATACATAATCACCTACCAGCAATATGAATAGATGTTCGTTTGAAGGAGGGAAGGGTCCCATAAAATCCATTCCCTACACATAAGAAGCTCTACCTCTAAGATGTATGTGAAGGGCATCTATGACATTTTAGAAATATTTTCTACCCTCTGGCATTCATAACAAGGCTGGACCAGATCATAGGCGTCTTTAAAGATGGTGGTCCAAAAATATCCGCTTTGAAACACCTTGGGTGCTGTACGTTGGCCTCCAAAATGCCCACCATATAGTGCAGAGTGGCATTTAGCTAACATCTTGCGTGCTTTAGCATTCGCAATGAATCTCTGTATCATCTTATCTTGATAAATCCATACAAGAATGGATCATCCTATAGATGAAATTTGCTCTCATCCATAAATTTCTTCAGTTGTTGTTTATTAAACTCAGCTGGCAATATGCTGCAAGCAACATAATTGGCCATGTCAGCCAACCATGGCTCATCATCCTCCTCATTCATAGCTTTGATCATGAACAATTACTCATCCGAAAACGTGCCTCTAATTTATGTTTCTTCCCTAGAGCTCCCTAATCCGGTTAACCTGGATAGGTGGTTAGTGACCGAATTTTATGTTCCTTTCCTATCCTTAATCTCTATATCAAACTATTGCAGCAAGTTTATCTAGTGAATCAATCAAGGCTTAGCATCCTTCTTGGTTAGCAAATACTTCAATGCCGCATGATCTTTACACACTGTTACCTTAGCTTCTACCAAGTATACTCTGAATTTTTGAACGCAAAGACCACTACCAATAACTCTTTTTCCATTGTGATATAATTGATATGTGCCTCTATCAAAGTTTTATTGGCATAATAAATCGAATGCAACAACTTTCCCTTGTGTTGAGCGAGGACTGCTCCTACAACAAAGTCGTTAGTGTCGCACATTAATAAGAAAGGTTGTGTCCAATCTGGTGTTGTGATAATGGGTGCATGAGTGAGAACATATTTCAGTGTGTTAAATGCCTGCACACAATCAGAAGTCAAGTTAAATTCTTTATCATTTTGAAGCAATAAACAGAGGTTTAGAGATTTTAGAGAAGTTCTTTATAAATATGCGATAGAATCCAGCATGCCCAAGAAACTGCGAATGCCCTTGATATTCACTAGTGGGAGTAACTTCTCAATTGCCTCAATCTTTGCTCTGTCTACTTCAATGCCCTGTCTGGAGACTTTATGCCCTAGCACAATTCCCTCTTGTAACATAAAATGACACTTTTCCCAGTTATGGACTAAATTTGTCTCTTCACATATTTGAAGCACTTTTGTCAGATTTTCCAAGCACTCTTTAAAGGACTTAACAAATATTGAAAAGTCGTCCATAAAAACCTCCATAACGAACTCTACTAAGTCAAAGAAGATCACCATTATACACCTCTAGAATGTTGTTGGGGCATTGCAAAGCCCGAAAGACATCCTTATGGCAAATGTTCCATAAGGACAAGTAAATGTCGTCTTCTGCTGATCTTGAAGGGAAATTGTTATCTGATTATACCCGCTATATCCATCTAAAAAATAGTAGTATTCTTGTCCTGCGAGTCTGTCCAGCACTTTATCGATGAATGGGAGATGGAAATGATCCTTCTTAGTGGCCTTATTCAGTTTACTATAGTCCATGCAAATACGTCACCCCATCATAGTTCTAGTGGGAATCAACTAATTCTTTGCGTTTTCCACCACAGTCATGCCTCCTTTCTTTGGCACGCATTACACTGGGCTTACCCACTCACTATCCGAAATAGGGTAGATAATTCCTGCATCCAACCATTTGATTATTTCCTTCTTGACAACCTCCTTCATGGTGGGATAAGTCTGCGTTGGGGCTCAATGGAGTTCCTACTCTCTACGTCGAGTTTAATCTTCTGCATACAAAAACTGGGCTTATTCCCCTTATATCTGCTATAGTCCACTCAATTGCCATCTGATGAGTTCTTCGCACACTCAACAACATTTTCTCATTTTCTGTGATAGGTATGCTGGGAAAAGTCTCGGCTGAACCCAGATAAGTGTACTTCAAATGTTGTGGAAGCGTCTTGAGCTCCAGCATTAGTGGCTTTTTGATAGATGGCTTCAGTGGTTTGTACTCACGGTTGCCAAGTTCTAAAGACTCATAAATGTGCTTGGGTAATCCTTCCTTACTACCTACACTTTTTAGGTAAATCACTTTTGGATCTTCTGCTATGTCTTCAACACCCTGACAACCTTAGCAGCTTCAAGCTACTCCAGCATTGCTTCTACTCCTAACTCCTCTATTAGAGCTTCATCTACAACTTTTAGCATTGAACACTCTTCCGACTTTGATGGGTATTTCACTGCATCGTACACTGAGAACTTTACTTCTTGATCTTGAACAAGCATTGTCACCTCGCCTTTTTGAACATCCACAAGCACCATTGTAGTTGCAAGTAATGGTCTTCCCAAGATGATAGGAACCTTTTTACATGTATCATAATCCAAAATAATAAAGTCGGTAGGGAAAATAAATTTATCGACTTGCAGTAAAACATCATCGATTTTTCCTTTAGGATATGTGATCGATTGGTCTGCTAATTGCAATGTGACTATTGTTGGCCGCACTTCTCCCACTCACAGCTTTTTGTAGATTGACAAGGGCATCATGTTGATACTCGTTCCCAAATCATATAGAGCTTGCCGTGTCTTCTACCCTCTGATGGAAATAGGTATGGTGAAGCTTCCAAGGTCTTTAATTTTAGTAGGAATTTTGCTTATAAGGATGTTGCTGGACTCCTTGGTCATTGCTACAGTTTTATATTCTCGCAACTTCCTTTTCTTGATGAGTATGTCCTTGAGGAACCGCACATAAGTCGACATTTGCTCCGATGCTTCCACCAGCGGTATATTGACATGCAACTGATTCAGCACATCAAGGAACTTTCTAAATTGCACATCCTGCTCTTTCTTTTTCAGCCGCTTTGGGTATGGTGGTGTGGGTCGAAACTCAGTTGGAGCATCTTCATGTTCAATCTTTTTCCTTTTCTCATCCACTTTTGCATGCGATGTTCCAAAATTTGATGCTTTAGCATTGACTGGGTTGACCTCTTTACTCGCTATGTCCTGACTATCCTTCGGTTGCTCACTAACCTGTGTCGGTAGGTTGGAAGATACTGCTATTTTTTGGCTCAATATCTTTTTCTTACCGATCATCCTTTTCTATTAGAAACTCTCCTTGGTCTTCTCAAGTAGGCTCGATCCTGGCCCTTGGAGCCTTAGGGTGCACCGATGGTAATGCCTTTCCATTTCTTAGTGTGAGAGCCTTACATTGCCCCTTACCATCCTATTTGGGCACCTTGGTATCACTAGGCAGTGCTCCATAGGGTCTACTCTTCAAATCTGTTGCTAATTGGCCCACTTGCAATTCTAGATTCCTCAACGATGCTGCATAACTTTGTACCGTGACATTATTCTTTTCCATATACTGCTTCATCAGATTCTCCAAAGATGCAAATGATCCTTTAGGTGGCTTTTGTCCTGCTCCCTGACCTTGGTTAGCAATTCGTGGAGGATAGTTTCCTTTTTGTTGATATGCTGGAGCATTGGATGTTCCAACATCATTTCGTCCTTGATTTCTACTCCAACTAAAGTTGGGATGACTACTCCAACCTTGGTTGTACGTATTGGAGTATGGATTGTTTATATTATTATGAGTATTTCCCAAATAGTACACTGACTTTGGATTGCTAGGGCAACTATTGTAATGATGCTCTCCCTCGCAAAAAGAATAAGAAATCCCTTGGATGTGGCTGACATTTGCTTTAGCAGGGGTGCCCGCTGCATTTTTCTGTGTCATACTCCTCATAACTAAATCTGTCAAATTCTTAATCTTTGAATTTAAGGCAGTGAAGGACTTTGATTTTTTCAATCCCTTGCCTCAATTCCCTTGAATGGCTTTAGGGTCAACCATTAGTGATTATTCGATGAGATTCTCTCTAGGATGTTGAAAGCTTCAACATAGGTTTTACTAGACATGCGCCATTTGTTGATGCATTAATGACTAGGCATGTAGAATCATCTGACCCATTGTAGTAAGTATTTATTTAGATGCACCGAGGGATTGCTAAAAGTTGGTGTTCTCACTTCTATATTTGGTGTTCTTGTAGGGCGAAAAGTACTTCATCAAAATTTCTCGGCCAAATCATTCCAGCTTGTAAATGACTCAAAATGGAGTGACTCCAACCAAGTTCTAGCGTCGTATTTTAGCGAGTAGGAGAACAACTTGAGTCGTAGTTCTTCCTTGCTACATCCTTCAACCTTAAATGAATTGCAGACTCCCATAAAAACTTCATATGCGAATGTGGGTCCTCGGTAGCATTTCCATGGAATTTTCCCTGTTTGGAGCATCTGAAACATTACTGGCTTCAATTTCTGGTTCCGTAATAACTTGGTTGAAATTGTAAAATCCCGGAGCCGCATATACCCTCATCTCTCTGTCAGTATCATTCGCTAGTAGAACAACATTGAGAGAGGGCACTACTGTCTCGGGGTTAGCAGCAATAGGAGCCCCATCTACTATTTCCTCAATCCCTCACATTTGGTGGAATAGGTGGGCGTGGAGGTGGGTTAGGTGGATTCATCTTTGCTGTAGCTTGTGTTCTCCTTTGTTCTCTTTGATTCCTATGAAATGTGTGCTCTATCTCGTTATCTATAATATATTCCAAGCTTTCAAAATCATTCATACACCTACAACCACACCACAATGTGAGAAAGAGAAAACTCAGTTAAGCTCCGTATCCTCAAACACTATGCCTTAAAATAAAAACAACTAAGTCCCCGACAATGGCACCAAAAACTTGTTGCATCCTCACAATCGTGATGGATATAAGTGAAAGTGTACACTATATCCGTCTATTATAGAACGAACGAGGTCGAATCCACAAAAACTTAGAGTGATATTTTAAGTTATGCTCGAGAATACCACTAATGCAAGAAATTAATAAAATAATAATGTATGTACAAAAACAGTAATTGAAATAACATTAACAAACAGTAAATGACTCCAACAACAAACAAACTTCTAAATGGTGGAAACAGGAAAAGAATCTAGCACAATATGGAAAAATGGAGTAAACATATATGGAAAAAGCGGGGAAGATTTATTATGCTTTCGCTAAATCCCAACCTCTACTCTAGCATGAAATCACTCACTATTGCTCAACTTGACATAGTTTCCTTCCGAGACACTGAAACATGGACATCCACAACTCCTGTTGCTAGATACTCAAGCAATAAACACAAGTTTGAAGCATGATTAGGGGACCCCATTCTGAGTATCCACGAACCCGCTAAAGAAAAGCAGATAATCACAAATAGAGCAAGTCAACTAACCATAAACTCTTCCAGATCATACAGAAGCTAGCATACTAAACAAGGCGACCACAATGTTCAGTAAGATTGAAGAAAAATATGCTCAGATTAAACAGCAAGAAGAAAACAGCTAGAGTATTGGTTGTTTAATAGTTTAGCACATAAATCTCCCCCGAATTGGGGTTTATGTCATAAAGGAAAGAGAAAACACAATGGGCAAGAAGGAGATACAACACATTTTAGAAAAAGAGGTAAATAAAATGCAGATGGAGACACCAGCACGAAATGACAGCAGCTGCTCCTCTCTGTTGTCAGTTCTCCTTCCGAAATTGGTGAAATTCCTCTTCCTTGTATTTTCCAGCACAGAAGAATGTCTCTATTAAGTCGTTTGTAACTCTTACAAAGAAGGTCGTATTCATAGTGTTACCAAGATAATGTACCAAACCTTACCTATATTCTATAGACCTTTAAGGTTATTACTGAAACATTTTTCACTCGTATATCGAATGTACACTGTATATAAAATATATATCATGTACATCAATTCTATATTGTATATTAAATATATACTCTGTATATCAATTATATATTGTATTTATACTGTTCAAGTTACATCACATAACCTCAGATGTTACTTTATTGGATTTGGGTTAATGCACTTCTAAAAAGAGGAACTTCAATAACAGCTTTATTGAATAAATATTTGTTTTGCTTTTATAAACTACGAGTTTAGGCATAAAACCCAACAGATCTCGATTTGTCCTCTCTGTGCTGCCAAAACCCGAGCCGCTGCCTCTAATTTGTCACAAAATTTTCCCAAATTCGACTGAAAAATGAGTTTAATCCCTACAGCTTGCCCCAAATGAAAAACAAAAGTCCCTTATATATTTGGTGTAGCATTGAGATGTTGACTTTGCCATCTACACACTATAGAACCTGTAGCGTAAAAAATAATGACCGTCGGCCTTTCTTTTATTTTTCCGACAGCGTTGTGGTACTGCACTCTTGGCCAAATGGCCTACAACAACACCTCTCCACCTCTTTTTCATCATTCATCGTCCCGACTCATCCCTGACTCTTTCCGATATTGATTTTTCTCCACCAATCCTAACAATCTCCCAATTGGAGACAAAGCGACGATCTCGCCTCCGACTAGACCAACTATGTTCCTTCATCTTGACAACCCTTCCAAGGGTCAGTTCTAACTACACCAATAGTAACTGATTCTCATTTACTCGATCCTATCCAAGCTCCGTTTGTGATTCCTCCGAGATTGAGCAATCTTACATGGTCTTGTTTCCTTTACATTAGAGACACAGCCACGTGTTTCCATTCAATCTAAGTGGTCTCTGATGCTTCTTTGCTCGATCAGACCCAACGACCTTTGAAGAAAGATTTCTCCTTTGATGATTGGCTCTTCCACCCAAGTCCATTGCCACTCTAGAAATATGACTCTTGACTTCAATACCCATTGTAGTCTTCTCCTGAATGCACTCCTTCGGCTACTACGCGACTTCATAAGCTCGCTAAACTGTCTAACAATTGGGGCTAGAAATTGACAACCAATTAAACAGTTAAGTAAGTTATTCCTTTTTCCCCTCTCTTTACTTCCCAGCTGTTGTATTTGAACCGATGATATATTTTCTTCCTCAATCTTGGTTGTCATTCCTGCTGGTCCATTTAAGTCTTGCCTTGAACCATCTGTAGCCCTGTGCATACTCTGTCTCAAAGATCCCCTGACAACCTTAAATCTTGACACGTTTACCGAAGCCTCTTTGTGGCTCACTGCCACAACCTCAAATCCCTTCACTAGCTTCCAACTACCATCTTGCAAACTCACTCTTGTAACCATCTTCATCCAACTTCTCAGCAGATATTAGATTCCTCCTAAAACTGGGTACATATAAGACATCCCCTAAAACTAGCTCATTGCCAGTCTTCAGATTTACAACTGGAGTGCCTCTGATCTTGGAGAGTCTATTGTTCCACATTCTCACTACACCAAAGCTCACTGTAGTGAAAGATTTAAACAACCATCTGTCTGAAGCGATGTGTACTGAGGCTGCACTGTCTACTGCCCACTCAGATACCAGATCTATAGATGTTGTACTAATCTTAGGGCTAGCTAGCAACACTTGAGCTGATAAGTAGTTGACAACATCTCCACTGCTACTCCTATTATCATGGCTGAGCCTTTGTTGTCTTTTCCCTTGTTCCATTTCTCTTTTCCTTTATGTAGGGGCTTTCTCTACCTTCAAAAGATAAGAGACACATGCAAGCATACATGGTCACATGAAATACTCGGAAGTAATTCCAAGGTCAAATCCTCGGGGACTTTTGCTTTCAAAATCAATTTAGGAAGTGAAATGGTTCAAAATGCAATAGAGGTTTATGGGTAAAAATGAATGACAAAGTTGTGATTTGAGGTTGCAAATATCAAACTTCATTATAAAACTCAACCTCTCTACTTCGCCTTAGCTTTGATTGGGAATACATAAAATACACACTTTAGGAAGAAAGTGTCAGGCGTTACTTGGCTAATTCTAGAAAGCTGAGTTCTACTCTTTCACAAATCACTTTTGGGTGCTGCAGAGTCTAGGGTAACTTACGATCATATTTTTAAATGTACTTATAATCCTAGAAATGTAATTATCAACTCATTTGCTTTTATTGGTCAGAGGGTCCATGTCTAGGACCGTGGATTATGCGCTTATGTCTAAGTCACATCCCATATAGGTTTCCTATTATTTTACCTAACATAACCTTCTCAGTGTTGGGTTTCGGTGCATAGGTCAATTTCCCTATGGCCAAATTGAGAAAAGACTTGAAGAAAAGTTTTTAGAAACCACTCCAAGAATGTGCCATGTGCATTCTGGCTTTTACCTGACCGTGTTAAAATTAAATAATTTTGGCTAAGGCATTACACAGAGAGGTTGGAAACTAAATTAGTGCATAATTAAAGAGGAGAAAACGTACAAAGGAATTAGATAAATAATTTTCATTAATTTAAATTAAATAAAAACGACATATAATGAGTTTTAGCTCAACCTTCTTATCTTTCTAGCTTGAAGGGAGTGTAAACTTGCTAAAGAATGTTAAAGGAAAGTAAAAGATGAGGCACAATTGAAAGAACTTGAATTAAAGCAATAACAATACTAGAGTTTCGAAAAGACAAGAAAATAACAAAAGGAAAAATAACTACAACGAATTTAAGATTGAAAATGGATGTTAAAGCTCTCTACGAGATCAAAAATTAATGGAGTTGGATGCTGGAATGCAAGAGGAGGCTAGGCTCTCCTTTTATAGGGCTCAAGTAGGTTTAACTCCCCACCAAAGTAGGAGGAGAGGGGTTGAGATCCATCTAACAACTCAAATTGACTTGGAATGCACTGATTTTGTTCCAACTAAACACTTGTGAAATGACTCCTGTGCTTTCCATAAGTGAAACACACGTTTTGGAAAACTTGGCAAAAATGTGCTAGGTGC